CTTTACTAATTTTTCTATCTCAAGATTATGAATTTTAACAAACACTATATTATATATATTATTTAAAGAATAATTATTATCTGTTATAATTTTATTAACAAATCCAACTCTTCCCAACAGTCACTTGTACCAAGTTTTTTATAAACAAAAATTTCTAAAAAAACTTATCCGTAGTTGTAAATATATAAAGAAAAGGTGGATATCTACAAGTTGGCACTTGTTATTTAAAGATAGTTCTCATATGTTATCTGCTAACTAGTTTAGAGTTTATTACTTACTGCAGAAATGGTACTTGTTATTTAGAAGTAGTTCTCATACACTACTTGCTAACAAGCTCAAAGTTTATCACTTACTAGTACAAAAAGCTATCTGTACTTCTCTCCTCCTCAAGTTAAAGTATGCACTTTAGGTTGAAGAAAATAAACACTCTTTAAGAAAAGGCTCAAGTGACTCTTCTATCACCTTTTCCGCTTCTCTGCCGTTTCTTCAAAATTTTCAATAAAAAGTGGGGATTTGGTTTATCCCCTTCAAAAGATCGACATTGTTTACTTTTCAAATTCAAATAAGTATAGTAGATTGCAACCACATGTCTTGTTTACTTATAGATACAGCACTACTTTACATAACCAGGATCAGGGTCTCTGGCTAAAATATTCGAGGATAGTCAAAAAGAGAAATATATGTTAAGGTGAAGCTTTATAACAGAGATATACAAATATTATATTTGTTATATCATTTTTTTTTAAGTTTGACATGGGCTATAGTAGTATATTTTTAATGGCTCCGAAGTTTTTTAGTAGAGATATCTTCTAGTCTTTTGGTCTTTTTTTTTAGTTTAGGTTTTTACATTAGACTAGTTTTCTTGCTTATTATGTGAAGGTTTTTTTTTTGTTTTTCTTATCCATTGTTTTTGATCAATTATTTTTTCCTTTTTTTTGTATTACTTGTTTTTTTGGCTTTTAGTTTTTTTTGTTTTACTCTTTTCTCCTTATCTTACCCTTAGTAAATTCCTTGTGATTTAATGGAATACAGAGGAGAGAGAAAGCCATTATATTATGATGTGGCAATTAGGCTAGTTTAATATAAGCCTTCTAATCTTAAAATTTTAGATCAGTGTAGTAGGTTGCACTTGGGTATCTATAAGATAGTCAGATCTTTAAAGAAAGCTGGATAATGTCGGACTTGCAAATTAGGAGTAAACAAATATATTTTTAGATATATTTAGAATCTTAATAAAGTACTGGCGAAGCTGCCTAAAAGTCAAAAAAAAAATAATAATAATTTTATTAAAAAAAATTTTAAAGTGATTTCTGGTTATTAAAATAATATTAAAAAAAGATAATTGGCTTGAGCTACTAAAAGATCCTAAAAAAGAATCAGAAGATCCAAAAAAAGTACCAGAAAATCTTTAAGAAAAATTGAATATAGGTACAAATAGGACCTCGAAGAACTTTGATACAACTTATAGTCAAACCTCTATAAGTGTACTGCATACAAACCAGCTTCAATTGTATATTTAGAGAGGTTTGCATTTAGAGAAAGCCAATCAAATTGCAGCTTTTAATGTTTGATCTGCAGGCTTGTATAACACAACTTGAATACTGAATTCTGATTGGTTACGTGCATTTAGGGAGGTTAGTATGACATAGAAAATCTTTTGAGTAAACGTGCATTTGCAGAATATAAAATGTGCATTTAGCACTAATGATTTCTTACAGCCAGGCCAGAAATGTGTATTTAGAGAGGTATTGCATTTATGGAGGTTGCATTTATAGAGGTTTGACTATATATATTACCAAAAAAAGAATTTTGTATAGAAAATCATCAAATATTGCTTTTTTATATAGTAAATTTTTAAAATTTTCTCTATTTTATACATCTATTTGGCCAAATTTTATACAAACTTAGATCTAAGCTGTATCAGAGTTCTTCGGAGTTCTGTACAAATAGGCTAGCAAATTGTTTAGATATTAATAGTGTCACAGAACTTGTTTTAGTTATTTAGTTTAACTGGTTACGAAGGGATTTAATTGGTAGTGATTTCATTAACTGTTTCAATTACAGTATTTACTTTTGTCAGAATTCTTTGTTCTTTGACAACAAATATAGTATTTCATGTTGTAAAATTTGCAGTTAATCTTTTTATATATGTGTTGAAGTTGCTATCTGACAACATATACCGTATTTTACTGATAATAAGCACCCTCCAAAAATAAACACCCCTGGCCTGCATTATGCAAAATTTGGCCTGAATTATAACTACCTTGGCCAATATTACGTGCAAAAAAAGAGTACTTATTTTCGGTAAAATACGGTATAGCGAAGTATATAATAGAATCTTCTCAGCAGATATCATTAGGATATAGATATTTATTACCTGATATTTTGAAGAGAGAGAGATCAGAGAGGTTATTATATGCTATATAATATTGTATTATAGCCAATCAAAATTGTCCAATAAAACTATATAAAATTTTTTAATAATAATAATTAAAAAACAAAAATCATATTTTTTATTAAACTCTAGTTATGATTTTCTTTACAACTATTAAACCAAATTGGATGAAATTTTACCTGAGATAGAAATGATATTGAGCTACAATATATTAAAATTTTAGCTAATTTTGATTAGTAGTTCTCAAAAAATTGCTTAAAAACTATAAGTAATTTTTTTAATATAATTATTTATAGTTTCTAGACAATTTCTTAAGAATTACTAATCTAAATTGGCTAAAATTTTAATATGTTGTAGCTAGTATTCAAAAAAGTCAGTACAGATCGGATTTGGATTTGTGTGAATCTGAACTATTGGATTAGGTTTGGCATCTAAAATATCAGATTGGATCTGGATTGAGCGAAATTGGGCCTAATTTTAGATTATATCTTTACATAATCACTCTATATGATAAATTTGAATATAAATTCGAACTTATCACAAAATAAGTAATAAATTCAAATTTATTATATAATATATTCAAATTTATTTTATATATTGTAACAAATACTGTATATATGACAAACTATCAGATTGGCACAGATCACTCCTGGATTCAATCTGAATTATGAATTTGAATCAGATTTGAATCAATCCTAGATTAACTAAAATTTTTAATCTGTTTTCATATACTAGTTGTAGCTAGCTATTGCTTTTATCTTTAGTAAAAATTTTATCCAATTTGAATTAATAGTTGTGGAGAAAATCATAGCTGATAAATCTTTTTTTTTTTGATATGAAGGTAATCTCATTGGTCTGGAAAACTTTTTATTAGAGTATAAATAGTGTTTTATAGTATAATTACAATGATAGTATATCAAGCCACACATATACTTTTGGTGTCTAATTTAAGTAGTTTACCCAAGGTGTTAGTGCTATACTAAGAGTTCCACACTATCTGCTATATCTGCATCTAACTACAGAGATTACCTATTTAAACTATCTGGTTCTAACTACCACTATTAGCCCTCTAACCCATAGGTATTTCTTACTATCTAGAAGTAGATTTTGGTATCTACCTATATTGGCTTTTGCACCCTGTCTTAGGACTTACTAACTTATATAAACCTAGTCTATTCTTGAAGTAAACCTAATAGAGCAGTATATGTTCTACACATGTATTCATTTGCATGTTCTTATAACTTCTTCTTAATTAGTATATATTGATTTGCTGTTTTGTATTTATATCTTATGCCATTTTTTGGGTACTGCTATTCTATGAATATTTTTCAAGCACCAACCTTTCTAGTTAGGTATCTATTACATACTTCTTGCTCTTGTTCTGATTTCTAGCAACTTTAGTACCTGTATTTAGACTGTTATCTTATCCAGATTCTTTATTAGTCTATTTTTTACTTCTAGCTAGCAATCTAAAAAAGTCAGTTTGCCTAGGCTTTAAATGCCTAAAGGATATCTTCTCTTGGTCCATACTTTTGAAACATATGTTCTTTTCTCTAGTGCAACAACTTGGCAATTCGACTAGTATGTCCTTTGCCATTAGGACCTGGTTGCTCGGTTCTTCAATCTCAGGTCTTGGTTCAAATTCAGCCCTTCTATAGTACTATTATAGATTACTGCTATCTTCAAACTCAGAGCTTGCCAAATAGGTTTTTAGTTATTTCGATCCTCTAGATTTATTGTGCCAAAGCTTTTATTACTAGATAGTGTAATTAAGGTTACAAATTAATCTAGATCCAACCAATAAAAAGCCATCAACCATACACAGGCCTATTTTTTCAAAATTAATTTGAACTCTAGACCTGCCACTTGAAGAGAATAACAACTAGACCACTACTACTATTAATCTTTATTATTTACTATAATTATTATTTTAAAAACACAATAACTTTTTTTTTTAAAATATTTAAATAAATCCTACTAAAAGAATATATATAACAAATGGTTTGATAATCTTTGATCAAGAACTTTATAATAACTTACTTTGCAAGAATAAGAGAAAAAAAATCACAAAAGTACCAGACAGTAAAAAAATAAAAACCGAAACTATATTAAATATTTCAAAATTTTACTATAATTAATACTAAATTTTTAATTAAAAGCTTTTAAAATCTAATTTTGTATATAAATACACTCTTTAATCTTAACTTTAATACTAACCCTAACTATAATTCTTATTTTTAATTAATAATAATTCTTTTTTTAAATATTAACCTGCTATATAGCAACCTGTTAAATTTAGCAAATTTCAATAATTTTGTATACAACCAACCCAAATTTTTTTATAATATAAAACAAATATAATTTTTTAAATATTATAAAAACTTTGGCTTGTTAAAAAATTTGATTCTGTTTTAAAATATTAATTCTTATATAATGTTAAATAATTCTATTATTTAATTAAATTTTTAACAAATAATTTAAAAATTATTTCTATATTAACTATTTCTATTATCAACACAAGGCGAGGTGAGTCAGCAATCAGAATGTAATGACGTGTCGTCGTACCCATTAAATAACCACATTTAAAACTTAGGAATAAGTGTTACTATGCACCATAAGAATCCAATAAATCTTCTTCCTCTTCTGTTAGTCCCGAAAGACTTTGAGATGCATTATTTGCAGCATTCGATATATCGGATTGCAAGAGAGTATCTAATAAAAATTTAAGGTCTAAACCGACTTCTCGCAACTAATAAAAAGAAATCAAATTAGAGGCATCATAACAATTACAATAAGAAAATTCAAAGAGATTACCATTAAACAATGATCTCTCGCATATTTCAAGCATCTTCGCACAATTTTATCTTCACGATTATGGGGGCTATATACTTGACGTTGGAACATACTTGCATAATGTTCTACTTCTTCTTTTGCCCATTTAACAAGACCTTTTAAACCATTTTAAATGTCAAACGTAAAAACATAATTCTAGTTGATTAAGCTAAAATTAATCAATAAGTCTTACCTGATGCCATTTTTATGTCTTTAAATGCAGCACTGTACCAATCACACGTATTTTTAATTAAAGTAAAATATACTAGTGATAGTTCATTGATATATTGAGGTATGTCGCCTTCAAATTTCAACTGCCTAAAATTGAATATCGTAATGTGATAATTAATTAAGAATATCAAGAATATTAAAATTCGTTAAAATAATGCTTACTTTGTCCTTATTCGAATATTATTTGTTCTAGCGGACAGAAATAATTCTCGAGCCTAAAAAAGGTTGAAGCTTTAAATGAATTACAAACAATTATAAACTTAATATCTAATATTAAATATTTTAACTACCTGTTCACCATAACCGAGACGTGATAGCCATTTAACACATTTTTGTACCTGAGTCTTTTTCACATTAGGATTAGTCAAATCTCGACTAATTGCATATGAAAGTCGCACCACTCTATCCTCCATTTTTACCCGGATAGATTCCAACCTAGTGGCATCTGCAGATACATTTGTTAATGCAGCTTTAGCTTTAAATCAAGATTTTAAAGAAATGGTTAATATTAGAATGAAGATTGATTAATTACAGTACGATAATATTTATAAATGAAGATTTTCGATACCTTTTTCAATATTTTCTACGGCTTCATCAAATTCTCTTGTAGCAATTTGCACATCTAATTGGTCAGCCAAATCCTCTATGTCACGTAAATCATTGAATGAAAGTTCTCTAGGAGATTTGGCCGATATTTTTGAGGATGGGTTTTTTTGGTTACGTAATGATGATGATAAAGCATTACGACCTCTCCGCGAAAGAGATCTTATAAGTGGAGTGAGCTGTTGTTGATTATTTTGCTATTAATTATGAAGTAATACTTAAACAGTTAGATCAAATAATTTTCAGTAGTGTATTAATGCTATTATAGATTATAACACTTACAGCATTAATTACTGAATCTGTGCAAATTTGAACAGCAAGAATATTAAAATTAGACAATTATTAAAAGAAGTAATGCTTATATTAAATAAAAAGTATACACACCAGCATGCCTTACAGCTTTTGCGGACATCATCTCGTCTGTAGCACGTTTAGTCATGTTGAACAAATTTTTTTTTTCCTCAGCATTACTACTTTGAAAAATAAATTGATCGGTTGGATGTTTTAAGATTTTGATAAAATTCTTAGATCCTTATATGATATGATGGAAAAAATTTATGGTATAAGCAAGATTTAATAGGCTTAATAATTAGATATAGTAATTAAAAAAAGTAACATACCATCAGTATCTTTTACATCTATTAAACTAACATCATCTAAAGACCAACAACGATCGGCTACTAGTCTAATTTTTGTTGTATCTTTTGTTAATTGCCTTTTTTTTTTTACGGCAATTAATAAACAATCGTTAAGTAAAAAAAGATGAACAGCATGTTTCGGCTTATTAGTATTCATACTAATTTCGACAAAATTTGAAAATTCGCGAATAATATGACGACCATGTTCCAATGGGACGAAATTCTAACACATTATATTATACAAGCCGAAAGACGATAAATTTGGTATGCTTATTAGATAATTAAAAAGACTGTTCAAGAAAAAAAAAAAAAAAGGTAAAAACCAAACCTGTGCACCTTCCACACCATCCCAGAGTGCCTGAATTTGTGCTTTCCAAATTGACTGCATATCTGACGCGTTATTTGTGGTTGGCTTTCGCCCTCTATGTACAATAGGCTCAGAAGTCACAGATGACGCTGCACGAATAATTTTATTTAAATTATGACAATAGAAACGTAGAAATGAATGAGGTCTCATAAGACATACCGGACCCAACGTTTATAGACTCGGAACTATCATCTCTCAAATTGTCGCTAACGACTTGTAATTTATTTAATAATCCTCGCAATACTAACATATCACTTTCTAACTGTAAAGTACCATGCAAAAAAAGGTTAAGGACAGTAAATAAATTAAGATTCATTAAACAGGTATAATAGGCAGATCGATTGGAGGAAAAGGGCTATATCGCCGCTAAGGATATTTGATATTTCTTTAGATATTGTTACGAATTCATTATAGTTTTTATACACATTTCTCTGAAGATCGATAGAGGCTAATTCTTTAGATTCTCGAAGCGAATCTAAAAATGCCCTCACATCATCTTCGGTGGCATTTGCCAAGGCTTTTTGAATATCTGAGCAAAAAATATTTTACAATAAAAAAATTTAGTAAGATAAACAGAAAAAAAACAATTTTAATAACTGATATAATATGCACATATTTCAGGTTTAAAATCTTCTCCAGCAAACTCTGCAATGTCTAAAGTAGGAGAATCTTTTGGATCTTCCTCGGGTGTAAATGATCTAACCCCGATGTTATTATTCCATTTCGACTGACGATTCATTTCTTATAATAAAATAAATGAAATAGGTAAAGAAGTACGGAAAAATTCAAGGATAGTACTCTATCGTTAATCTGAGATTCTACTTGAACGATCATATTCTGATTGGACGAAATAATCGAAATGTAATTTGTTTTTCAAATTTTGAGTAAAGATATCTTGATAACCTATTCAAAATTATGAAATTTTTTTTTTATTTAGATTCTATAAAAATGTATAATTAAAGAAAAAAAAAAACTCATCGACCTTGTATGTGGTCATCGAGATATCTTCGCTCAAAGTTTGGAAAATTACATACTGTATTATCAGAAGCTGCGGCTAAGCCTTTTCTAACCTTGAGCAAGGATATCTTGACAACCACCTTTCTAAATCGACAAAAAATTTCTTTATTTTAAAAATATAATTCTATGGATAGGTGGTCGTTGAGATTTCTTCAGAGTTGAGAAAATTGACACGGCTTGTTTTTTTTAAATTTGAACGAAGGTATCTTACCCGACCACCTACCTAGATTTTTTTTTATTTTGATTATACAATTTTATAGAATTAAATAAAAAAATCAAGGTTTTTTTTTCTTAAATTATCTTGATAATCACCTATTAAAAAATTGAAAATTCTTTTTTTTATAAAATGATTTTGAAGAGATAATTATCAAGGTACAGTATTTTTGTTCAAAGTTATGATAAAATTGTTGTTAAACTTTGGGCAAAGATAATATCTTAATGATTATCTACAGTATTATAAAATTATATTATTAAGATAAAAATTTTTTTTTATAAATTTTAAGTATATACAGTAGTTATCAACAGTATTTAAAATTCAAATTTAAAATTATGTTCTCAAAAGAGCTTAATTTATAATATTAGTGTTTTCAAAAAATTTATAATATTCTTCTAAAGGGCTGAGTTAATTCGGATATCCTAAATTAAAAACCAAACTCTAAGACTCTCTTTACACCAGTTTGAGTTAAATTATTTAAATTATATTTAGTTTTATAAATAACTTTTACTAAAACGCACCTATGGTGTTTTACACCATAGGTCCCGTTTCTCAAAAACGTACTAAGTAAACGGGATCGGGTCTTCTAAGTAAAAATGTTCAGGACCCCAAAAAACTTCATGAGAACTGAGATCGGGCCCTATCGGCCCTTATATTAGCTCTATATTATATTATATATAAAAAAAATAATTCTTAATTTCCTAACCCTAACCCTAAATTTTATTAGAAGCAATTATATATAGGTGCTAAACACCATAGGTGCGTTTTATAATAATTCTTATAAATAATTTAAATAATTGAATTATACAGTACATAATTCAAACATATAGATATCAAAATACAACCCGATTTTGCTTGAGTTTGGCTCGGGTTCGACTCTAAACTCAACCAAAATAACACTAGTTTATTAGATTTGAATTAAATTGTATTAAATTATTTTTTGAGAACATTTTAGAGTAATAAATAAGAGAACCTTATTTTAAGTAACCATGAGAACACTGAATTTTAAACACTGGTTATCAATATTCTATCGCTATATTTTTATAGTTTAAAAGATTTAGATAATTAAGCTACGAATTTTTTAAACACCAACTGTATATACTGTATATATTTCATATTTAAAATTGTATAGTAAAAATTAATCTTAATTTTATAAACTTATAATTTATTTATTAGCAACATTACAGATTTTTTTAAATTTTAAATCATACAATTTTGAGAAGTGTGGCAACTTAGTATAGTGGTTTAGTCATCACCCTCTCCAAGTGGCAGGTTTAGAGTTCAAATCTTATAGATGATGAATTTTAAAAAATAGCCTGTGCTACGGTTTATGGCTGTCAATTATCAGTTGAATCTAGTAATGCCACCGAAATTGATTTTCAAAAAAGGTCTATTTCATCTCCATTAAAACAAATTAAAATTTTTTATAAAAAAGAGCAAATAAAATTTATATATTTATACTCCTTATAATTTCGTCTATTCAAAAAAAGTGACATCTTTTAAGTAAAATAAGTCAAAAACAATTTTGTCTTCAAATTTTAATTTCGGGTTTTAGAACCCGAAATAATTTTGTCGGCATATATAGTTGAATCTAGAATCAAATCTGTAATCTCAGTCATACCATCTAGTTATAGAAGCTTTGGCACAATAAATTCGAGAAATTAGAATAACCGAAAACTCATTTGGCAAGTCCTGAATTTGAAGGTAGCAGTAATTTTTGACAGTACTACAGGAGGGCTAAATTCAAACTGGGGCCCAAGATCGGAGAACTGAGCAACCAGGTCCACTGGTGGAGAACACTAGCCAAACTACTGAGTTATCACCCCTCAGATAAAAAGGGTATAAGCTCCAAAACTATGAACCAAGAGAAGGGCATCCTTTAGGGCATCCACTTATTTGTGCCAGTAATACAAACATTTAAAAAGGAAATGGCCAATCGGAGAACATAAAATGTGATGATTTCAGATCAGCCCGACACATAAGCAAAGCGAAAAAAACACCGAAAAAGAGAAAATACTCAAAAACTAGTGTTTAAATCAACCTTTTTAAACTAATAAAAAATAATAAGAATGGAATTTTATATATATAAAACTCAAATTATCACTAAAAGCTCACAACCCTAACACTAACCCTAATGCTAACTTTAATGTTCTAATCTTAAACTTTCTTAATTTATTTACAAATGCAATTTTCTTTTTTGGTTTGTATTACTAGTACAAATAAGTAAATTGGTCTTTCAGGCATCTAAAGCCTGGGTAGACCAACTCTTCCGAGTTGTCAGCTGGAAGTAAAAAATGGACCGATAAAGAATCCGGGTAAGAAGATGGCCCAAATATGGGTATTGGGGTTGTTGTGAACTGAATAAGAGCAAGGAGTACATAATAGGTGTCTAGTTAAGAAGATTGGTGCTTGAGAACATTCGTAGAATAGCAGCACCCCAAAAGGTGGTATAAGATATGAATATGGAATAGCAGGTTAATATATACTAATTAGGAAGAAGTTATAGAAACATGCAAGTGAATACATGTTGAGACATGTACTGCTCTATTAGATTGATCTCGAAGATAGATTAGCCAGAAATAGTTAGTAAATCCTAAGGCAGTTAGTGCATCCTTTGCCAGGATGATATCAAAATCTATACATAAATAGTGAGATAAACTTAAGGTTAGTTGGGTAATTGATAGCAATTGTAACCAGATAGTTTAAATGGGTATCTCCATAGTTAGAGTGCAGGTATGGCAGATAGTGTAGAACCCTTAGTATAGCACTACCTCTTTGGGCAGACTGCTTAAATTAGGTACCAAAAGTGCATATATGGCTTGATATACTATTATTGTAATTGCATTATAAAACATCGTTTAGTTGCTAATAAAAGCTTTTAAGCCAAAGAGGTTACTTTAACTGAAAAAAAAAAAAAAATTATATAATTTTGACAATTTCTATTTGTATACTAGTATATGAAACACAGATACATTAGTAACTCAAAATATATTACTCTTCAGTTCTAACAAAAAAAAAAAATCTATATATAAACTATTTCTAACTCTAATCTATCTTTAATTCGATTTAAAATTTTGTATTATCCCTTAAACTATCAGGTTTAGCATACAAATTTGTACACTAAAATATTTTGAAGAAAATTGAGCTTGAAAAATTATTTTTTTTATAAAATATTTATTCTAATTAGTCATGATAATTTTTCAAGACCTGAGTTATATAGCACACCTGTAGCTGCAGTGTGAAATACTCTAAATAACCTGATTGAAAGGTACAAACTTACATGATGGCTAAAAAATAGATCATTTTATCTATATTTTTGAGCTATCTTATCTCTTTAATATCATTTCAAAAATCAATTATATAAAGTTGATTATAAAAAATCTTTGATCAACTTTAAAGTTATATTATAAAAGGAATCTTTATATAGCAATTGTAAAAAATCTCTATAGGCATTATATAAAATTGCCTTTTTTAGAGATCATTTAAAGCCTGGCACCTCACGAAATCACCTAACATATAGAAAATCATAAGAGATATAGTGATTCTGATTTTTTTTGATATTTAGTAAAATAAGAATCTATGCCAACTTTTTTTTTTGCAGGTGGTTTTTTTTTTGCGAGTGGTTTTCTTTACTCTTTTTTTTTTTTTTTTAAGAACTTTCCTTTTTTTTTCAAAATATACTCTTTCTTTTTGCGGTTGTGTTAGTTATATACAATAAATAAGAAGTCATTAAGACTTTTTTTTTATTATTGTTCAAAACATATAAATAGATTGTTGGAAGCACTTTCAAAAAAATATTGCTGTTGTGTTACGATTATTCAATAATCAGAGTTTATTAATTGTGTTGTAGTTGCAGCAATAATATAGATTAACAAATTATTGTATTTTGTGTGTTTTTTTTTTTTAATATACATAGTTTTTTTTTTTTTAATATATATAGTTTTTTTTTTTTTAATATAACAGGTAACTTTGTTGAAAAAAAAAGAAATGTGTTTAAAGAAATTGAAATTGATGAAGATGGAGTTTTGTTGAAAAATGAAAAAACTATATTGAAGAAAAACGAAGTAGTTGTGTTGGAGGATAGTGAAGAGGAAAATAAGATATAAACAATATCTGTAGCAGATAAAACACCTGTAGCATATGAAGGAATTAAAGTTTACATATCACAATCTACAACTTCTAATTAAAGACAAGTACTCCTCTTCAATATTGGTGAGCCATTTGAAGTATCAATAGATAAATTCGATTACGAGTGATAGCCACTCATTACAAATGTGTTGACAAGGTTTAGTTATAAAAACCACACCAATGGTAATTCTTGGAAAGCATTTATATACTGATTTATAAAGCATAATAATTCAAGTAGTTGGAAAAAAAAATTCCTACTGAAAAGTGTTGAAAAACAAAGGTCTGCCTAGCAAATCTTTGCTCTACAAAAATCTGGATGTTACATTTTGTTAGTGCACAAAAAGTGCAAGTAGAACAATATAATAAAGTCCTGATTATGC